GCAGTGTGTAATTTGGAGAACTACATATTTTACCAACTGGGTATTGTAATTGGAACGTCGTGAAGGCCGTGCTTAGCGCTGTACTGTTACAAGGGCAGACAATACTACTGGAGGCGAATTTGTGAATGAATTCATCCGTAGTGTTGTAAGTATAAGATTGACCGATGTATATTCTTCTTTCAAATCATATATCCATGTAATTGTGTTGAATTAAATTGATGCCCATCGGTCTAAATTATCCCTGTCTTACACGAATTCTGCAATTTCAAGTGTGATAAGAACCCGCAGACAAGGCGGAATAAATACTGAATCTTATTAAGCGTTTAGGGTAATACTCGACTGACCCTGTGATCTTGTGTCAATTATACATACCATTTTTATTAATGTTTTCACTTTCTTTCACAATATTAGACCATTCCTCTGCCAAGACAAACAATATTGAATTATGTATAACAAAAAGCCATTTCGTGCATTTCAAAAATTAGTTGAAATTTGTTCATTTACTTTGGGCAAGTTGGTTAAATAAATAATTTCGAGAATCTTCAACAACTATCTCGAATGAATACTTACCCCAGTATTTCAACCTACACATTGACACCATTCACGCATATTGTGAAAAATAGTCTTCAGTGCTTAAGATTTTTTTTGAATAATAAATGTATTCATAAACCTGATATGTCTTTATGGAATTTGAGTAAGTGAAATCAAAATTTACGATAACATTTATGATGGAGGTTGGGTTAATTATTTGAAAGTGTAAATATACTCACGCAACACACTGCGTTTGTCAACAACCTTTTTTCCGAATCGCTGTGGTAGATAATGGAGAGTAAGAGAGTTGTTCTTGTTAATAACAAAGCAGTGTTTTATCTTTTTCATTGTTAATTGCGAAAGGCTGTGATGGTAAATACAATTTATTTCAAATTGATTTTTATTTACAAAACTTAACATATACAAAACATTCATAATTAAGGCCAATATTGTTTCCTAGCTGTTTCCAAAACAAAATTAACATCTACACATAATGAGAAAAACCTTCCCGTTTACACATCTGTTATTTGCAAATGTTATTTGCATTCTACAATTTTTTTCTGGCGGACTCTTTATGCAAGAATGACGTTTTTAGAATATTCATGATCTAACTTGATAAATTATAACACGCCAAAGACCGACTTCGTGTTCCATATTGTTCAATTGACAGCGTGTGTGAAGGTTGGAACCTAGCTTTTGTGAGTCTCTTTTAGTTACATTCGGAAACACAACATTAAGTTTAATTAAATTTAGCCATCATTAGATCGTGTATTATTAAATTATTTAACTTTGTCATATTAGATTAGTCAAATTGAATACTTACATGTTGGGCATTACTTTGACTAGGCACAATCAGTGCAATGCATAATATCACGAACAATAATTTGTAGTTTGGCATGTTGTTGTCTGCAATAACAAATATTTGTAATAAATAAAATGGTTATGTATTTGCAACTCGAACCATTTAGATATTAATAATAAAATATATTCAGGGGCAACCACGTCTCTTTGGAACATAGTTTTGCGTCTTGTGTTTTTGCGTCAGCTTTGAAATGAACCAAAACAGGATAATGATTCTCATTCCAGTTATTTGAACACTATCTGCGTAACGATTATTTTGAATAAAAAGTATTTATACTCATACTAAACGTGTCTAGTAGTCCACGGAACAAATACAAATTGCAATCTTTAACAAACTTTATGTTTTAACATAGATTTTTATTATTTCCAATTAATGTTGACGCCATATTTTACTCCATGTAACAATCTATGTTGACAAAATATCGATTTTCTATGAATCATAATATGCTCAGCAGCTGAAATACACTTGTACAATACAAATACAATTGTATAGAAAAAAACTAACTAAGTTCAATGTACATGTGGTAAAATGCTATCTTACTGGATATGTAGATTGTGTGGAGAACACGGATGAAACGGCTTTGTAGAGGTCACAATATAATCTCAATATCTTAGTTTTATGTACCAGTAAATATGGTAAGGCTTTGCTTTTTATACATTAATAAACTACCCAGAGCAGATACGTGTTCATTTTGGTGCGCTTTGTATGAAAAAAACATTCCGGTCTTCAAGCTTGTATTTATGTAGTTCATATTGTAAAATTTGCACTACTTTTAAGACTCATAGTTTTCATATTTATGCCACAGATAGATTCTGTTTTATTAAACACTATAACCTATGACACTACAGTAATTATAGCTTTTGTGTTATTACACGCTATTTAAATTCTCGACCGCATCACCTGATCAATGCACACAATCAATGCGTACCTTTGCTGTGCGATGCACTCGGACGTCAATTCAAGATTAAATATTAAACAGTATTTACACCTTGTTAGACATGTCGACCAAACTACTGTTTTTTTTGTCTATCTGGTACATATTGGTCTAATTCTACATAAATGAGTCTGTTAGATAGTCTAATTAGAATTTATTGTGGTTTCCGGAGGATATATCAAACAATAATAACGTATAGAACAGAAAACTTACATTTCAATCTGGATACACCTGTAAAGAATGCTGCTTCTTTAGTGCTCAGGTAAAGACTATGGTAAACCGGTTTGAACTGGTTTGTGACGTCACTAAAATCTAGTGCCAAATAGGATTAAGTAAATAACACATAATAAATGGCATGCCAAATACTATGTGTTGACAATAAACATATACTTCGTGCGTGACCTGAGCCGTTGCTTTTGTACAGCACCTAATCATCTAGTTTGCACGTCAAAACTCGTCTTCCTCTCAGCTATAGTATTTACTGGAATTCAATAAGATACAAAATACAAAAAAAAAATGCCAAGGGTTGAATATTACACAGTGACGAAAAAATACAGCGAATTCATTGTAGGCAGCCAGCTAATATAGTACATTGTATAGCTAGATGGCATTTTCGTGTTCGCAAACAGACTAGTCAGTCTCACATATATCACCTGGTATCACTAGGGTGGATGACAATTTTAATTTTAAATGGTATTATGACGTCATTCAAAATGGCCGCCATAACGGTACAGACGAATTGCATGAAAATGGTCGTATCTTTGAAATTATATGAGCAAAAGAGGTATAAATTGGCTTGAATGATACTCAAACCATAGTTGCCAAGCAACATTATCGCCACAGGTTTACAATTTGTGGTTTTAAATATATAGTTTTTCAACAACCTGCTGCATGTCATTAACAGACTATTTGAGTTTTATTGTCACAAATTAAAAAAAAAATATCTTCCATATGTTTCTGTTAATAGTAAAAAAGATACAAATAAATAAAATCACTTATATAAGTTTCATAGTTATTCTTCAAACTCAATATAACCTAATCAGTACTAATATTGAGTTCATACCACTTTTGTAGATCTGCAATCAAAGTATTAATATAAACAGCTATTCAACTGAATAGTTTGTAGTATAGGTGGTTCACAGCATTGTACTAATATGAAGTATGGTTACTCAAT